TAAAAATAAATCAATAAAAATAACCATTGATAAATGAAAGTAAAAAGTTTCCCTCTCCCATTCAGCTAAACATTCCCTTCCCCATCTTCTTCCCCATTTGTAGGCCTTTTTCACATCCAACAACTTAAAATTTCATGTGATTTCATTCCTCAGGCAGTTCTTCTGTTCAGTGGACTCATGTTTCCCTTTGCTGCCTTGCATGCTCAAGTCACACCAGGAAGGACAGACAGGGAGAAACTTCCGGAGTCACTAAATATCTTATTTTGTCTTCATTCATGTCATGTGACTGGCTATAGAATTTAGGTTCAAAGTAATTTTTTCGTGAGAACTTTGGAGATTTGCTCCTCTGCTTTCTAGCATCAATATTATGAATAAAAAAGTGTGGTGACAATCTTATGCTTATTTTCCTAGGCATCCTATTCAAGCTTTACTATTGGAACTTTGAAGTGTTAACAGGATATTTCTGAGTATTTTCCATCTGAAAAGTCTTTTTATTTAGGTTAGGGAAATTATCTTTTAGTATTTGTTTCACTCTCTTTTATTATTTATTTCAATATGGTGGAAGGGCATGGTGGAGGAAAATTGCTCACCTTATGGCAGCCAGGAAATAGAAATTGGGGAACAAAGCCACAGGAAGATGTACCTTTCCAGTGCACTCTCCCAGTGACCTACCTTCCCAGGTCTGCCTACAGTTACCACCAAGTTAGGCCATTCAAACTAAGATGAACTGGTTCAGTTACAGCTCCATAGTCTAGTCTTTTCATGTCTAGCATTATTATCCCATATCCAAACCATAACACATGCACAGACTCTTATTCTTGTCTAAACAATATAGTGCAACAACTGTTTACAGCGTGTTTACAATATGTTGGGCTCCATGGATTTTGGTATCTGTTGGAGGCAGGAAGAATCCTGAAACCCATCCCTGGTGGGTACTGAGGGACCGTTGCCTTTCTCTCCCTCCTCCTGAGTCTCATGGAAAGCGAGCTAGCTCAAACTTTGTGCCAGTAACCACAGTAGACCCCTTCCCAGAATATGTTTCACTCTGGTGTCTTGAGCCCTTCCTTTGCCTGGGTCTGGGGGCAGGGGCAGTCAAATGCTGCAGCCTGCTACTCCTGAAGCCTGGAAAGTGAGAAAGAAGCACTGGGGCCAGGGATTTTGCAAAGTGTCTTCTAATTCCTTGATATTCCTAGTTCCCTAGGCCTCACCTTAGACTTAGGGACACTGAATCTATATTTTAACAGAAACCCTGGTGATTCAGAAGCACATCAATGTCTGAGAAGCTCTGCTCCTCAGATATGCTTGTCCCTTCCCCATCAGTGCCTGCCCTGCATCCTTCATGCTTCCAAGGATCAAGGATGGGAGCTCCATCCGGGACTCTACCAGGAGGAGACATCCCCCCTCTGCTCAGCATCTCCCTTGCCTGCTTCTCAGTGTGCTCCTACTTTCCCTTTAAGGTATAAAAATGTTTCTGACATATGCAATAATATAGTCAACCCCCATGTGTACATAACCTAGTTTAGAAATAAAAGTTTACAAATAGAATTTCAATCTTTGTGTTTTAGTCAGCTTTTCCTTTCTGTGACCAAAATACCTTATAAGAACAACTTAAAAAGAAGGGAAAGTTTATTTTGACTCAGAGTTTCAGTCTCTGATCAGCTGACTCCATTGCTCTGGGCCCGAGGTGAGATAGAGCATCATGGTGGAAGGGTGTGGCAGAGGAGAGCAGCTCAGGACATGGCAATCAGGAAGCAGAAAGAGAGCTCTGCTCACCAGGGACAAAATATAAAACCAAGGGCACACTCCCAGTGACCCACCTCCTCCAGCCATACCTTGCCTGCCTATAGTTACCACCCAGTTAATTCATATAAATGGATTAATCCAGATTAGATTACATTCCTCATAATCTAATTGCTTCACTTCTGAACAGTCTTACATTGTCTCACGATGAACTTTTGGATGAAACCTCATATATAAACCATAACCCCTTGTAAATCACCCCCTCTGCCTTTTTTTCATTGTCAGTTCTAAATGCAGCAGGACAGCTAAATGCAGCAGGACAGCTAAATGCAGCAGGACAGCTAAATGCAGCATGATGGAGGTGTGGCAGCCCCATAGCCACAGATAATTCACTCCAGTGAGATTCTGTCTTATGCAACACAGACCAGTTGCTGTGAGGATCTCAGAAAGTATGGGGAAGTGGGAGAGGAGGAAAGCTTGGATCTGAACTTACCCACTGGAACAAAGCTGGAAATGCTCAAGTGAGGAGAGAAAACTACATAAGCAATGGTTATAATGGTTATATCTGTCAGCTGGCGTAGTGTCAGAGTAGAGGAATAGCATTTGGTCAAACATACATTAGACTGACCAGGAGTCCGGAAGTGATGTTGGACAAAGGAAAGTTTGACCTAATGATGATAAAAATGATATTAAGTCATGTGAATACTAACATATGGCCGTCTTTACTTGGGGCCTCAGCTTGGGAGGAAGACGCCACTCTGACAAGGAAGGGTCAGATGAGTTCCATTGAATAAAAGAAAGAAGTACCACCACCTGAAGGGGTGGACTGGGGCTTGGCATGTTAATTGGCTTTATACGCACTTCAACCTGAGCGGGCACTGGAACTTAAGCATCCCAGCCCTGCGATAAGACTGAGATAAGTGAAAGAACAGGTAGCAAGTCAAAGGCCCTGGGTATCTGCCATTTGGGGATCTCCTCAACAGAATTACCCTTTAGCTTTGGAAAAGTGATGCTGAGGGCACCTGGCTCTAACAATACACCTGATCTTTAAAGCTGATACACTCTTTGAGGATGGATAAATGAGCCACATTTGGTGTTCGACAAACTATAAGTTGGGACCTTTTAATGGCTTGTCAGGCTATGATCCAAGACCTAGGAATGCATCTGTTTTTGTCCTTATGGGGGTCCATGATTATCTCAGGAGCTGCTAAATTCAAAGAGATACAGAGGCAGGAAAAAGGCATCCAGAATGTCAGCAAGAAGCAATCCCTCCAGAGGCTGAATCCAGAGCCAGGACAAGAACTGACAAGAGCAGAGCTGGCTCAGGTCCTGAGAGCCACCTCTCAGGCAGAAAGCAAGCAGAGTGGGAGGCAGGTATTCAGACACAGGGAACAAGGAGAGTCAGCTGCCAGAATATGGAATCAAGATGTGATTTGAATTTTTTTGCATTACAATTCATATACAGAGTTATGAAAAATTGTGCTGTGAATAGTGGAATGCATTATGAATGTAATGCATTCCATTATTGTTATGTATGAAAGAAAAAAATAAAAAAAAAAGAAGTGATTTGAGTCTCAGGAATAAGGATGACTTTGGCCAGACCACAAATAAGAGCAAAGATGAGACTGAAGTTGCTGAAACTCCTCCTGCTGATGTTCAGAGTTGGTCCTGGACTAAAGTAATCAAGGTTAAGAAGAGAGGTGGTGGGCTGGGGTTATGGCTCAGCGGTAGCTTACCTAGAATGTGCGAGGCCCTGGGTTTGATCCTCAGCACCACATAAAAATAAACACATAAAATAAAGATAGTTTTTAAAAAAAGAAGAAGAGAGGTGGTGAGGGAAGGAGAAGGGAGGGGAGTTAAAAGCTAAGAACAGGTATAATTCACACCATCACTTGATCTTAAACAGGCTAACTGATTTCTCAGCACTTGTAAACAAGTCAAAATGCCTAAATCCCAAGCAAAGTTATAAAGCATAGTCTTCCCCCTACAGTTATCCACAGTCCCCCCACCCAGACACAACTAATGCAACAAATACCCCAGAGCACCAGGAACACCTTACTCCCCCCTGGAATTAGTTTTGAGTACTTTCTGTGTGCCAGGTGTTATGCTTTGAGACTTGTGGGGATAATAACACAACCCAGGGCCTTTGACATTCCTGTCCCGTTGTGGGGTCAGACTGCAAACAGATTGCTTCTGCCAGTGAGGAAGACACTGGGCTCCAGGAAGTCCTGGGTGGCATGGCCCCTGTGGTGGGTCCCTCACTCATGCCAAATGGAGCTGGGCAAGAGGGAAGAAGCAAAGCAAGAGGGAGACTTGGAGAAGGACCCAGCGTGATATGTGCCCTGAATCATCAATAATTGGCTCCCTCTGGAGCAGGACCCAAGACAGGTGGGAGGTGTTCAGAGATCATTAGTTTCAGAGTCTGAGGATCCAGGCCCACCTCCACCCCATACAATTTGTATGACCTTGAGTGTGCTATTTAATGGCTAAAACTCAGTTTTCTCCTTGAATCATTTGGGGATCCATAAAAATAAGCAACTATAAATAGTTTTAAGAGGATAAACATAAGGAGGGATAATGGACAAGTCAAGGTGAATTCCATACTTTTTACTAAAATTGATAATATTTTATTGTTTCTTTTAGGATTAGTAAATGATCAGCCTTATTAACAATTGATAGACTTGACAGTGGAAATGGATTAGTTTTCTCTTCTTGTTCCAAGCTTCCTCTAAAAGTGGTAGCAATTTTATTGTTCTTTGTCCCTGTATAGATATATTTAGCCCAACCTACCACATAGACCTCCTCTAACAAAGTGCATAAACATTCGACATCCCCATACATAATGAGGAGTAGCCAGTTATCGCTTAGCCACACAGGTGGATAATGGACCAGGAGAACATCTCCACAGTCCCCTTAAAGGTAGGAAATTATGCTGAGTTGTTTCTCTTCAGCTTTGCGGATTTTTTTACTCCATATTTGTAAATGAAAATATCTGATTACTGAGGATTCCAAGAATTCAATCTAGATGATGAAAAAAATACTATGAAGACATGACATGATGATCGTGTGGCCTCCTTGTTGTGACTTCCTATTCAGAAGTATTCTCTTCTGAGTCCACATTGAAAATAGATAGCATCTCACGAGCCTTCCAAGGTAAGCTAGAGAGAGCCTCCTGCCGTCAGGATGTGCTGCGATGGACACCTGCACTTCCTTCATCACACTGACAGCGGGGTCTCTGCTGCAAGGCAGTGACGACAGCAGCTTCCCCATGGGCGAAATTCAGTACTTAACTGTGATGGTTTTGATTTCAGTAAAGAAGTCATGAGAGTCCTTGGCTCCTTCCCTTCCTATCCCAGAATACTTCATCCCCCCAAAAGGCAGGTTCAGCTCTCTGATCAGCCAGCAGTTGGTCCAGACCAAGCCCGACTGCAGCTTCTGAGCCACCCGGTGGATGCGTCCCACGTTGCCTGACCATACCGTAGCCGCCAGCCCATATTTAACATTGTTGGCCCTTCTAATCACTTCCTCTTCGCTATCAAAAGGGACAACACACGTCACTGGACCAAATATCTCTTCCTTCATACAGCAGGACTCATCCTTAATGTCTGTTATCACCGTGGGAAGCATGAAGTAGCCTGCCTGATTCCTGGGGGGCAGGCTCAACCTATCTACCCCCTCACCACACAGGATTTGGGCCCCTTCAGCACGAGCCTTCTTGATGTAACTTCTGACCTGGGCAGGTAACAAACATAGTTAGCAAATTCTCATTATTTAGCTTCACACAAATCAATAGAAAAAAAAAATTTCCTAATCATCAGAAAGCAGGATAAGCTCATGGCTAAGAAAGCCTAGGGTTTTCTTGTCACTCAGCTGCTAAACCTTAGGGCAGCCATCACGTAGGCATTCAGCCATCATGCACCGGGGAAGGAAGGAATGTATTTAATATCTAAGTGTCAGACACTCAGATTCTTACTTTGCCTACATCCTCACTTGATTCTCTCAAAACTCTAGCAACTATCTTTATCTTTATTACTCCTATTTGCTGATGTTATATTTGAGCCTCAGAGAGAATACATTGTTCATGAAGCTAATAAAAAGTAAAGTTAAATTCATACTCTGGTGTATTCTGTAGTTAAATACATGAAAGAATATTTTATCCCTTTTTTTTGGGGGGGTGATGTCCATTATAAATGAGAAGTGAGTGATTTGTAAGATTGATAGGCCAGAATGTCCTTCAATATCTGAGCTTTGAAGAAAAATAATTTTTGGTCTCATTACTGATTATACTCTGAAACTACATCTGGATAATTAATATAATACAGCTAACTACAATGGAAATCAAAGTGTGGTGTGTAATAAATTAACCCAATGACTCCAAGATAATGACAGATGAGCTTTCTTGAAAAGAGGCTTAAAAGAGGCTTGGTTCGTGAGCTTTGTTTCTTTTCAGAATCTTGATGCTAAACCATGCTGGCAGGAAAGATGGCCAGGACCTGTGCACCTTTGGACCCAGTACCAGGTAGTTTAAGACGAGAATCTAAAAGTATTCAAGGAAAATGGGTGACTTGATTTTGGATCATAACTGAAACACAAAATATGGTGCAATTTGAGTCATTTTCCCAACTAATACTATGCACCTTCTATGTTCTAGGTATTTTTCTGGGCTTTGAGGACACAATAAATAAACCTGGCCATGGAGCTTCCATTCTAGTCAAGGAACTCCATTTGCATATTCAAATCTAAAGTTTCTAGAACCTATGTCCAGAGACAACTTCCCATAGCCCATAATTTTCCAGAAGTAATTACAGTATCTCTAAGGCCGATGTGTGTGATGCTTGTGCTGAGCTTCTCTTCCAAAAACTTTCTGTAACTTACTTGACAGAGGTGTACTTACTTTCTCCAAATGTGCTTTACTTATCAGGGCACCCATGCTGGCTGATGGATCAGAAGGAATGCCGACTTTCCACTTTCTGGTAGCTTCTACAAACCTCTTTAAAAATTCATTATAGATGCTCCTCTGAACAAAGATCCTGCTGGTGCAGAGACAGATTTCACCCTGTCAAGAATGTGAACAAGACAAGACTAGAGGGCCTTTTCCTTCATGGTAGATCCCCCATCATTTTCTAGTGCCTGTCATGTATCAGGCACTAGTCTAGGCAATGGGATCCAGTGGTGAACAAGACCAAGTCCCCACCATGTGGAACACACAGTCTTGTAGGAAGACAGACAAAACCACAAATGAACACTTTCAATACACAACAAAGCTTCAGGTAGTAATCAAAGCAATAAATGAAAATTAGGCAGAGGAGGAGAATAAAAGCTGATGGAGGAGGAGACAACTATTTTACTAAAGGGGCATTCTGGAAGGCATTGCAAAGAGGAGACATTTGGAGAACAAGGTTTTTATCGACATTAAGGAGCTGGATGAGCAAAGATCTGGAGGAGGGAATTCCAGCAGTAAGCATGCAGGTCTGCTGCAGGAAGGAGCGGGTGTGGGAGTGGGGCAAGAAGAAGTGTGGGGTGAGGCTGGGAGTGCAGGCAGGAATGGGAGGTGAACAAGGCAATGTGGTGCACCCTCACGGGCTCATAAGGAGCTTACATTTTAGTCTCAGTATCGTGAAAATGGAAGGTTTTATGCAGAGGAGTGATATAATCAGATTTACATTTTAAAGTTATGATTCTGACAGCTGTGTAGAAAATAGAAAAGAAGGAAATCAGAGTGGAAACAGAGAACAGATTTATAAGACTATTTTAAAGTGCAGATGAGTGGAGGTAGCTTGGACCAGAAAGCCACCAATGGAGACTGAGAAAAGTGATAGAAATCTAGTGAGTTTAAGATTCTTACAGGGGTATGGAACCCTAAAAGTATAGGAGACAGGCATGGATGCACTGGAGAAGTTATAGATTGCAGGTTATATCTTAAAGATAGGACACAGATGCATAAATAACTATTTTCATCCTAGGAAACAGAATGCTTCTAATTACCTTGGTATTTGTAAAAAAAGGTTTATTATATTAATTAAACAGTTAATGTTTCAAAATGACCAATTCTTTCTGCAAACAGGATAAATCAAAACCATCTGCTTATCTGGTTTGGGCAATGACCAACACCTGTCAGGTTCATCTGCACAAGTGCCCTGTGCCCTATGAGGAAGGAGGGTGTGATAAAGAGACTTGAGAGTTTACCAAGTTTCCCGTTACTCAATGCCAGGAAAGCAAGGGAATACTGAAATCCCTGGGAGGATGACTTCAGAGGAAATGAAAAAAGGATGATACTGTTTATCGAGTCTCTGCCATTTGCCAAGGATACTCGTTCCTTAATAACTCTGATGTGTTGGCATTCTTATTTTACAGTTAAGAAATATATGCCCAAGTTTGTACAGACATGCTTCCCCCAATAAGCCAATTATGTTTAATTAAGAAGGAAGTATGTCTTCCATGAGACTCATCACTTAGCTAAAGTGAAATAATCAAGCTACTTTTTTTTTTATTTGTTCCTAAAATCCATTTGTTGCTTTGGACTAGCCCCCTGATCTTTCTCCCACTGATACTTTAAAACACCCCAAGAGGAAGTTTCTTTGGGCACACTCAAACCCTTGCATGATTCTAGTAACTGAGCAGCCAGAAGTCTACACCTCCAAGCTCAGTACACATTTACTTTAATACAGAGAACATGCCTTCCTTTCTCACCTCAACTCTAAATCCTTGGAATTTGTATCTCTTTTGTTATCTGGAAATCATCAAAACACTGAATTCAATTATCCATTTGATATTTTCTGATTTTAATGATTAAATCAGTTGTATCAAAAAAAAGGCCTTTTCTATTGATCCCAAGTTTCTCTGTGTTTCTAGCCATTTTCTCTAGGAATTATGGTAAATCAAATAATTACCATTATAATCATTTTTAAAATAATTTTCTATAGGGTTGGGGTGTAGCTGAGTGGAAGGATGCTTGCCTAGCATGCACAGTACCCTGGGCTCAATCCCATGTGACACTAAAATAAAAATAGTAAAAATATAATAATAATAATTATTATTATTAATTATTATGATAAATTATTATGATGATGATGATTTTCACTTTACACTTGCAAAATCCTATCAGAAGGGATTGTTATAGCTCAGATGATTCTACAGGTTTAGAAATACAGGTTCAAATGATTATGCAACATCCAATGTTTCTCCAGTTAGGAAAATGCAAATCTGTCTCATCCTACTGCTCTGAAGTTCTAACTGTTTTGTGTAAGCCTTTATTCGCTACTAAAATAAAACTAGCTCTTGGAGCAAACCATTCGGTAATAACACATATCTGCTAGGAACTATGCAGACATTGATACTAAAACTATTGCACAGAGACAGGTACTGCTTCCATCTTCACGAAGCTGCTGTAGAGTTGATCTGATCTAGCATTCTTAATCCTTTGGGGTACCATGACCTTGAAGAATGTAACACTACAGAGCCTGCAAAACCATTAGTTATGTAATTTCTGGGAGATGCAAGATGGCCTGAAGCTCTCTATGACATTACAGGCAATGGTAACAGTGTGTGAATGCATTTAAAATACTTTCAGGGAGAATAAGGTCCACCAGAAATAGGACATGTGAGCAGCAAGAGGAGATAGTGCAAATGTGTGACTTACAAAGTGGAGGAGGTTGAAACAGCAAACTCAATCATTCTGCCCATGTGTGGTACATGATAAAAATTGTATAAACAACCATAGGAGCTTAATGAACAGAAGCTGATAGACACTGGAATATCAGTGTACTGATCCTCCTTTCATGGAAGTGACTGGATTTACCCATTCACTCCTGGGATTTGAACTGTGATAAAACAGATTCAGGTTGATAGGGCCATGGGGTGGGGAAATACCCAGAGCACATACCTGGTTGGCAAAGCTGGATCTGACAGTTGCTGGAATACAGTCCTCCAGATTGGCATCCTCAAAAATGATGGCAGGATTCTTGCCCCCCAGCTCCAGGGAGAGCTTCTTACAGAAGGGAGCACTCAGCTGGGTGATCCGCTCAGCTGTGGGTTGACTCCCAGTAAAGGAGATCAAGGGCACCTCTGGGTGGGTCACCAGGGCCTCACCTACCTTGGGCCCTGTTCCAAACACAATATTGACCACACCTGGTGGAACACCTGAATGGGAAACAGTATCAGTGATAGTAATTCTCCTCTGTGTGTTGAGGACTTAAGGTTACACAAAGACTCTCCTTGAACTTACAATAGCTTGAATGGTAGAAGCACTTGATAGGTTTTACAACACTCAGAGCTTTTATGGCTGCCTCCAGTTTAATAGCAAAGCAAGGACTACAGAGTCGATTCTGCCTATAGAACCCATTAGGTGGGATTTCTCTGGTGCTCATAGGTTCACATCCTAGGTAATGCATCCCACAGCAGTGACTATACTTTAAGCACTCCAGATGCACATATATTCTCAGGCAGGTCAATCCCAGTGGGGGCTCAGTGCCCTGCTCCAATGTGGTATCTAGGAGTTAAAGTGCAGGTGGAAAATATTAAGTAGAGGGATATGTAAATCTGCAAAGAAAATTGACTACCTTGGCCAGGGAAGTAGGGGAAGTTTCCCAGGGAGGGTGAGATTTGAGTTGGATGTCCTGTGCTCCATGATTATGAACAGAGCCACTGCACTCTAAAACCAACTTACAAGTACCAAGAGTACCCCAAAAATAGATGCTCCAATCTTTTATATCACTAGATCCTATTGTCCTAAATCTATATGTATATGTTTATGTGTTTTCTGGATTTACCTATATATGCCTGTCCACCACCAGAAGATGTGCTCACTAAGGGCAGAAATGACATGTGGTTTCTGTTCTTTGTTGTATTGCCAGTTGGTCACATAAAACTAACACCAATAAGGACTCACATTAATTGAGTGAGTCCTTATTGGTGGGCCAGCCATTGTTATTAGTGATTTATAGTAGTCACCTCCTTTTCTATGGATTTATTATCTGTAGTTTCAATAACCCACTCACAGTGACTCTCTGAAAATATTAACATTTGTCTTTACTATTTCAAGAGGGAAAGAGACCGTACTCATGTACCTTTTATCATAGTATGTTGTTAAAATTATTCTACTTTTCTTACTAGTTATTGTTTATCTCTTTCTGTACCTAAGGGGAAAACTTTATATATATATATATATATATATATATATATATATATATAGAGAGAGAGAGATAGAGAGAGAGAAAAAAAATATATATAGATATATCTCCCAATACTAGGCATGGTTTCAGGCATCCACTGGGGGTCTTGGAGCCTATTCTCCAGTTAAAAAGGGACTACTATACCATTTTTAGAATTCACAGAAACCCTATAAGATACTTGGTATTATTATCCTCACTTTACAGGTGAGAAAATTGAGGCAAAGTAAGATTTAATAAAGAGTAAATACCAAAACTGTCCAGAGCAGGTTGATAAATAATTGTTAAACAAATGAATGAGTGAATGAAAGCTTAAAGTCCAGTATCCAAATTAGAAATGGCTTGTGAATACAGGAAGATATGTGTGCAGAAGAGAACTCACATTCAATCACATCATGTCTAGAAGTTCTTAGGGTCTGCTGGAAGATAGCTGAATTTAATCCATTTCTTTAGGAGACCATAGTAAAGTGCAGAAGTCCTCCATCATAAAGCTTTTGGAGCTGCCTGCTCCTTGTCTCCTTCCCTTGCCCCAGGTAAGGCATTCTCTCCTCAATAGAAACCCTCTCTGGAATTCCTAGCAACACTTCAAGAATCTGCGCTTAATGTATAAATAAGAATTTCACAGTGACAATCAGTTATCATGAAGAATACTCTCCCACAGGGCCACTGCCTAAGCCTGATCACCTTCAGGGGACAATGGAGGTCCGTCCACAGAAGACCCTAAGGTAAGAAGTTTCAGTGCCATGGAGTATCTCCCTTCTAACAGCCCCTCACTTCTCCTCAGTGTGTGCATCTGTTGAATCTAGCTCAGGTCATTTCCGGATCCCAGGTCATCACCAGAGGTGTGCCTGGTACCACGTGAAAGCCCCGGGCTCCAGGTTGGGGCAAAGAGTCTGGAAGGAGAACAACTGATGGGGAGAAAACAAGGACAAGTTTTCCTCATTTTCTAGATGGGGTCAGGCCTCTCCATCCAATATGGGGCATGTGTGTGGCTGGATGGGGGAGTAGGAGAGGAAGGGGGACTGTTAATACATCCTGAAAGAAAAAAATGACTTGAATCACTTCTCCTGTGTGAAGCAGCATTTTAACAGAGGGTGAGAGGAACACAGGAACACCACATATTTCTCACCACAGGAGAGTGAGCTCATTTCGGCAGCCCAATTGCCTTCCACAAGCAATGTTAACCTTTGATTCTGCTTCTGTGGCACCCATGTTCAGATGTAAAGAGGTATCTGCTGGCCGTGATTTCTTAGGACCATTTTGCCATTAGTGAATTTTTTTACAGATATTTGCCTGTTGACCCTTAAAAGATTCCGATTCTAAGAGAAGGAAAGCAGTTGGTTAAATTGGCAAACAGATATTCAGCAAAAATCAGGGGAGGTAGCTAGTAGGCAAGTTGGGAACACAGGAACAGACAAGAATGAACCCTCTCAACTGCTAGTGCTTGGCAGGGAGAAGTATTTTAAATTTAAATAGAGCGAGGGGCAAGAAGAACAGTGGAAAAGGCCACAAACCCCCAGGAGACTCTCCAGGAATGAGGGCAAACATTTGGTACCACCAAAAAAAAAAAAAAAAAAAACCCACAAATATTCCAAACTCCCAAAGAGGTACTTACTTATAGTTCTACACCAGGGACTAGAGGAGCTAGCTCTTTAAAATACAGAATATGTTAGCAGTTCGTTTTCACGTCCCCCATCACACTCTTAAAAGTCCCTCCTGCATTGCTCTACAGTAAGATTTCCTGGCTGTGATTCACACGTCCTCCAAATCCCAGTGGAGAAACCGAGGGCTTCAGAAAGGTGAGATTTGAGCAGCACCTCTCTGTATTTTTCAGGGGAGAAAAGCTTGGCAAAGGTAGCCCAGCGGGGAAGGAGAAGAGCTGCCTTGGCTTTACGGGACTGTTTGTTCACAAGCAAGATCCAAGCTGGGAAAATAGAGGGAAATGGAAAGCTCTCGTGCAGACCAGGTTCTGGGGAAAGAAAACGCATCACAGATCAAGATGTGTGGTTTCAGGAGAGTGCCCGGGAAAACAGGGCTTCACATCCCCTCCTCCATGAGATCAAAGGAGAGTGAAGTCCCTGCCACAGTTTGGATTAGGAATGTCCCCAAAGGCCCACGTGTTGAAGGGTTGGGCTCCAGTCTGTGGTACTGCTGGGAGGTGGTGTAACTTTTAAGAGGCAGGGCTGGTGGGAGGAAGTTAGGTCACTACGGGAGTGCCCTAGAAGGGAATATGGGGACCCCAAACCCACCTCTTCCTCTCTTTTCTTCCTGCTTACCATGAGGCGAGCTGTTTTTTCCACCATGTGCTCCCACCATAATGTACTGTCTCACCACTGGCCCAAAAGCAATGGAGCCAACTGACCATGAAGTCCCCAAACTGTGAGCCAAAATAAACCTTTCTTCTTTTTAGGTTGATTTATCTCAGGTATTTGTCATAGCAACAGAAAGCTAATCCTGAATCCTTCTAGGAACCTGCGTCACCAGCTAAGAAGAAATATCCCATAAGTTTGCATACACCAGAGACTCAGTTTTGCAAAAGATGGGATTAGAATGGTGGTCACTTTTGTTAGGAAAGACAGATACATTCTGGGACATTGGAGAGGTAGGTACATTCAAGCCATACACTCCCCCTAGAGGACTAGGGCTTCCATAGACATTACCCCCAATGACCTGGGTTGGGAGACCTCATTCCTCTATAGGATACTAGGGTCTTTTGGCCCAATGCCCTGCTCTAAACAGGTTCAGTATCAACCTAACATTAGAATTCTAGAGAAATGACTAAATTTCACTGGACCCTAATGTGTATGTCTTTGTTGCAAGAGCAAAGTTATCCAGAAGGAAGAGAGGATAGGCTTGTACCCACTGCCCATTCTGTAAATATGGGAGAGCCCAGCAGTGCCTTTTCTGTGTGCTGTAAGTCAGTGACACCACAGGAGCCGACATAGCCAGAAGGATGAAAGTCTGTCCCCAGCTCCCAGACATCATTCCACCCTGACTGTGGTGAACATGAGCCCCCCATGTGCTCCCACCATAATGTACTGTCTCACCACAGGCCCAAAAGCAATGGAGCCAACTGACCTAATAGCAAGGGGCCTTCTCACAGGTTACCTGCAGGGCTTCCTGCCCGTGACCTCCAAACCCCAGTTCAGTGTCAGGCTGTCTGTGTGGAGTTGTACTTTACAACAAATCCAGGACTGCACTCTGAATGTGGCCATTAAACTATTAGCAGAAAAAAGGCAAGGAGTGAATACAGTTTGTACTGTGAGATGAGCATAAGATTTGGAGGGTCAGAGGTAAAATATTATGGTTGGGTCATTAATGGCTCCTGAAACTTCATATATTAGGCAACGCATGGAACGTTGTGAAATAAATGTATAAGAGTTATAATCTCATCAATGGATTAATCCATTTGATAATAATCCATCAAATGGATGAAGAATTTGAATAGATTGCTGGGTAGTAACTCTAGGCAGGTGGAGCGTGGCTGGAAGAGTAGGTCACAGGGGGTAAACTCTGAGGAATTATAACTTGTCGCTGGCCTCTCACACATGCATACTGTCCCTCCCTCTCTCCTTCCAGGCTGATGAAAACTGAGAAGCTTTCCTTCACCACACTCTTCCGCCATGATGTTCTGTCTCACCTGTGGCCTAGAGCAATGGAGTCAGTCTCTGAAACTGTGAGCCCAATTCTTTCTTTCTCTAAATTGTTCCTGACAGGTATTTGAATCACACTAATGAAAAACTGACTAACACAAGGAGCAAATGTTCGAGCCTGATAGGCTGTGGCCTCTCACCTTTTGAGTAATGATCCCAAATCAAGGAAAGCCACAGGATTTATATTCAAATCTTTTGGAAATGTCTGTGACTATGAGGTATTTTGTACAACTTATAGGAATACCTAGCAATCTTCTCCTTTTCACCAAGATTAACTTGTGGCTTAAACCTAAGATTTAAATTGACCATTGAAGATACTCTGCAGCGAGCTGATGTCTTTGATTAGATCAGGACTTTTTAAGTTTGCAATACTGTTTACTGTTTTATGCTTCTTGCACTGCAAGACACCACCTTGTGAGGTGGGTCTATTCTGCAGTAGCAGTTGAATAGAGGGAACAGTGTGAGAATGCCCTGCTGTGGATAAAGAGGATTTCTCAGAAAAGGATCAGGGAGACAAATCCCGTAGATGTCTTTGGACTGGATATTCTTGCCAAGTGGAAGATCTGTATGTAATACAACTCTGCACCTCCCCTAAATTTGCCCCCCAACACCTGTTTACCTGCTTTATTCAGGAACTTGCACAACATCCACGCAGTCACTGAAGTTAGTTCACTGGGCTTTGCTATCACAGTGTTCCCAGCAGCGATGGCCGGAGCTATCTTCCAGGTCAGCAAGTAGAGGGGCAAATTCCAAGGACTAATCAGACCCGCTAAAGGACAAGAGCAGAAGCACTTCTATGGTGACATGCCCTTCAGTGGCAGGTTGGCCGTATAAGGTTACTGAGAACTCCTTCATGCTGCATGAAACTTATTTACTCTTAAAAACCCTAGACTTGGCTTATTTATAGGTAACTTCAAGTAAATCAATCTAAAATTTATTACACGCAATTGTGCCTTTCAAAACAGTTTTCCCATTTCTTGATGGCTCACAATTATAATTATGAACAACAGTGTAAGCCCCAAGGCCACAAGGCTGTCACCAATCTACTGCTTAACAGTTTCAGAATGTAATGCATTTTGAGATTTATAAACTGGGCTTTACTTTTTTAAAAAATTTCTCCTTTCTCCTTACTAAGCTGTTCAGCTGCTATTTATTTTAACAAGTTTATTCACCTCTGTTTCCAATATGTTGTGGATTGACACATAATACCTCAAGTTTTCTTAGAATTATTTGTAAAGTAGGATCAAAACTGTTCTAGATGGTCCTGGTAGGGGCCCTCCTGCCAGTAAAGCCAATCAACTTTCATGAATAGATCATGAAAACCATCTAAGCTGTTTAGAATATTCTTAAATAAAAATTCTCTCTAGATTCTCACCTGTATCCTGACCCAATAGATTTCCTGAATAAGTAATATACCAACTTCTAGAGTGTGTCTCCATGCGGTATACTGAAACTATCCAGGTTCTTAACCACAACACTCAACAAATCTAAAGCCTCTATCATGACTAAGGAAATGCATTCACTTCATTTTAAACTCTGCCCTAAAACCTGTGTTATGAAAGTAAATGTGTATTTTACAGTATTAAATTTCCCAGCGGGAGAAAAAAATCTGTTCTTCAGGGTATAACAAAATATTGTTTCAGTAAAATACTTTATCATTCTTCTTAGAAAGCAGTTAGGGCTCTCCACAATGCCTTAAAAATGTTATTTCCAAAAAGTTCGAAGAATCAAAACAATAAAATGTCTCATTTTCTTTTCTTTTATATTCATAAAATGTTAACTAGTAAAATATGGTTTCTTTTCAGGGGAAACATTGCCATCTAGTGGATATGTCCAGTGATTGCAGACCTTTAGATGTTTCTTCAAAGGACAGGAGGCAAAGAACTGAGTTGGGGAAGTACAGCATTCTCAGCCAATGATTATTAATTAAACAAATTCATAGGTGTAGTTATTATTCTAAGTATCCTATACCTATGATTTATTTAATTCATATGTTATTAAAACATATGTAAGGATAAACTACTATCCCAGGTTTTCAGAGAAGATACTAAAGCATACAGAATTCTTGAGTCAAAACCACTGTACTCTTTGGGTTTGTTGGTTGGTTGCTGTTTAATTATTGGTGGCAAAAAAAAAAAAAAAAAAAAATTCTGGCATGTGAACTTACTCCTACCATCATTCTTTTCCAAAATTGCAATTTTGAAAACTAGTGTTCCAGGAATTTGTAGGGAATTTGACACCAAGAGAATAAATTAGAAATAGATTTTTGAGGTCAACAAATTTTCAGTAAAAAGGGAGAAATTGGCTCCTTCCTTTTCCTTAGTCCATTCCTTGAGATTAATTCTACAGAATTTTCTGAGCACCTCTGTGCATGATCATGACATATGCTTTTCCCACCAGCACCTACCGATTCCTACCGGAGTCCGCACTGTGTAGTGCAGACAGCCCAGGTGATCCATCTGTGTGCTCTCTGTCGTGTGGTGCAGGATGGAGGAAGCGAAGAACCGGAAGTTCTGCACAGACCGGGGAATGTCTATAGTTCTTGCCATCGTCAGGGTTTTCCCTGTAGGGAAGAAAGCACTTCCAAGTGTGTTCTAAGTGGAGTGAGTAGACATGGACAGAGGTGTCCATCAACCGTCACCACACCATATCCCAATTCACACTGTTCACAATTCACAGTTCCTTCCAGCCCTGGGGAGGCATTCCTTGACCATGGATGGGTAAAACTATGAAATTATTAGGTATGAGGTTATAATATCAGCAGGGACTGGGGCAGAGTTGAGTCAGATCATCTTTGCTTTGTGGACTGAACATTTTGTAGCTCTCATCGTGAATTTGTCAGATGCAACCACTTCACCCACACAAGCTCTTGCCAGTCCAAATCACCAGGCTTTGTAAGTGCTGTGAAGGGGTTGAAATAATGGGTATTGAGATAGCTGTGTTTGCACATCACACACAAACACGTGAGTTATATTAAGTGTCCTCCTAACACATGGTGGTAATCTGAAGGATTAACAGGAACATCCCAGCCATGGATGCTGTGTGACACTTGCTCACCTGTCACATGTCCCCAGTCCTGGATGGAGTGGAAGGAGAAGCATGAGCTTGCCTGGATTGCCCCTGAGTGCCCTCCAGTGAGGCAAGGAAACTCTGCCACCAAGAAAGGTGGAGAGCAAACATTTTCTTTCCAAGGGCTTCCCCCAGGCTGCTTCCTAACTCTAGGTTGATTTATGGCATGCATACATTTTTTTAAAGTTTTTGGCCCTTCCTAATAGACTGTGTTGCAGAAATCTACAAACATTTATTCAAGGAAGGAGAAAAATTGGGAGATTGTGTTAGGAGTAGACTAGTGACTGATAAGATCAGAGCACTTTCTACATAACTTGATTGTGGCACTGCTCTTCAAATGATCTTTGCTTTGAAACTCTCTATTCAGAATGGGAGGAAGATTGAGTGATCAGCCCTAGTTCCTCATCTGTCCCCATATCCATGCCCTTTGCTATGGATCTTTGCATTTTGTTCCACCAAAGGAACAGAGTATAATTCTTTGCCCCTTGACCTTAGGTTCAGTCTCAAGACTGCTGTGAATGGGGCAGGAGCAGCCAGCTGGAAGCCATGACTTTCCACAGCCTTGGATGGTTTTGCCTCCCCCTCTGCCATTGCTGTAAGAAAGCACCTGCCTGGCACCCCAGGAGGGTCGATATGAATAATGACAAAGAGCCCTGAATTCCATCAATCACATTTGAGTGTCAAGAGACCACCTCACAAACTGGAAGAAGGGTACTCATGGTCAATATTGAGTAACATATTGCTGTTCTTATAAGCATTTAGTACAAGACCTCTACACTCAAACCACAGCTCTGTTAGAAATGGCTCTTACCTTGGTCTTTAGATTCTGCCTGGGCCAACTCCTCAAGGGACTGCTCCAGCAAGTCTGCCAGCCGGTTCAGGACCTGGGAGCGCTCCTGGGGGCTGCGGGATGACCAGCTGGGAAAGGCCTTTCTGGCCGCCTCCACTGCAGCCTCGATCTTTGAGGAGGAAACAGAAGAGGGAGGAAGGTCAGCTTAAAGCTTTTGCTCCTGAGGGACTGGAGGAATCCAGAACCCACAGCTCCCTTTTATCCAACATGTCCCAGTGCTGGGCTACCACATGTGGGCGACACAGGTGTTTATGCCACCAGCAAACAGACACCACAAAAACAAAGCAAAACTCTCCAACTCAATCAAAGGAGCTAGAATGCGGCAGTCAGCTAATCAGAAAGAAGCTGTTCAAATCTCAACAGATATGCAATGTCCATCATTTTCCAAAGAACAGACCTTTTTGAATATTGAATAGGAGGGAAAACTTACTTTAGATGTATGGAATCTCTAAAGCTCTTGATCCATCTCTAACATTGTATAAAATCTAAATTTGTATGAAATCCTATCCTTGGAATGTCATTGGTCCTTGGAATGACTAATCCTATGTTAGTCATTTATTGAATAATTTTATAACTAAAGGAATATTACTAAATATACCAATTATTTCAGTTAGCCTCTTTATCATGCGTATTTTATGCCCATTTTACAGATGAGGAAGTGAGGCACAGAAAGCTCATTTAACTTTCCAGAGGTGACACAGATAATAAATGCATATCATGGGGCTGGGGATGTGGCTCAAGCAGTAGCACGCTCGCCTGGCATGCATGCGACCCGGGTTCGATCTTCAGCACCATATACAAAAAAAAAAAAAAAAGATGTTGTGTCTGCCGATAACTAAAAAATAAATATTAAAATTCTCTCTCTCTCTCTCCCTCTCTCACTCTATCTTTAAAAAGAAATAAATGCATATCAGGATACAAATACAGATCTTTTTGGTTCCCAAAACCAGAAGCTGACTTGCTATGGCATAACCACTGGCCCTGCCCAAAGCCGAGTGTGCAATGGAAGGGTTGGGTCTCTGTTGGAAAGGAGGGGATCTAGGGTTGAACAGAAATCTTAGATCTCTAGTTTGGAAGCTACATCCCCAAAGAAGCAACATGAGGAGGTACGGGCAGGGCCAACTCATGACCAAAATGTGACTCAGGCAAAGTGAATCTTGGAGTGCTCTCCTACTTCTGCCTTTCTTCCCATTCAGGGAATGTCTAATCAGTGCCTCTTCCAGATATGGCAAATCTGTAGTCCAGGTGCCACCCCTCTCCTCTGCTTGTGCATGATAGACAGTCACTTACACCTTTCTCCCACTACTGGGCCCAGCTCAGCCTCAGAATCCTTCTTCACAGGCTTCAGACAGTCAGGAGCGCCTTTCTTGGGTCATGTGATCCGACCATCCAGACTCCTGTTCTAGCCCCCTCATGAAGAACCCCACCAATGTGTCCCTTGTTCCCTCTGGAAAAAAAAGTTGCTTTCAGCTGAGCTGAAGTAAGGCATGAGATTATTAAGGGGGTTTAGCTCAGTGGCTGAGTGTCCATCTAGCATGTGTGCGGCCCTGGGTTCCATCCCTAGCACAGCAACAACAACCACTGAAGATTAAGATTCTCATCGTCAGTAGAAATTTGTCTGAGGATGGCAGCCTCACCTCCAAGACTGAATCTCTAATGTGGACCTGCAGGCAGGATGAAGGAAGGGAGGTAGACTTTTTGGTGACTGTCACCTCAATCTGCAGTCATGGAGAATCTACTGCCAGCCAACCAGAGGGGCTCCGTTCCTACAGTGGGTCATGTTCAATTCTGATATGTAACATTTAGAAAACTCAAGTCCACTCATGTTTTCTAAATTGTCTTATGTCACCTGATTTATGTTTGTACAATATAGACGGCATATTAATCTACCATATACAATAATATTACTGTAAGCTAATACTTAGAAAGGGCCAAGCACTGAGGGCTTTACACGGATTAGTCCATCTCATCCTCAGAACAACACTACGAAGGAGGAATCATTACTATCCCCATTTCATAAATGGGGAGACTGAGGCACAAAGAGGCTCAGCTCTAAGGTCACAGGCAGCAAGCCATGGAACGGGTGTTTGCACCTAGGCAGTTTGACTCTGGACTGTGCTTCCGTCTGCAATGCCATAACACAAATGGGCTACAACAAGTGTACATATGTGTGTGTCTGAGCATGCACACCAGCACACACCCATTGACCTAGGCACCAGACACCAAAGTGTCGGCACTCTGTCCTCTGAACATAAGGACGATAACAGATAACTAATTTCTAGGTTGTTATAATTCGCTCCTTGGGACAATCCTGGTAAGGCAGCTTGGTGAAGGCAAAGCACATAACTAAAGCTGACTGAGGAACCCCTGAGCGCTGGCAGGATTTGCTGTGAGCAACTATTTGGAGAAATTTATCATGTAATTTATACAGTGACCTTTTTTTTTTAAGCCAGGAAAATAAAATGGGATTTACGGGATCAGATAGAATACTTGTGAGTTGGATTTGTGGAAATAAAAAATATTTATTACTGTAGTAACAGCTACTATTTTCAGTTTTGGTCTATTTTCTGAAAAGGTATGAACCATAAGCTGCAGAAAATATTCAACCTGAATTTGGCATATTTGTCATTTTTAACTTCACTTTGGAAAACACTGTGAAACAAGAAGGAGTGGAAAAGACAAGACCAGATTTCCCACAGCTATCTTGGGTCCTTTAAAACAAACAAAATTGCAGATTATAGTTTAACCAACAAATTAGCCAATACTTGCCAACATTAATCCACAAGTCTAAAGGTTTTGTTAATGCAAGACAGACTTGAAATTTTCACAGGAAAAAAAAATAACTGAGTTCTTCAAAGAAATCTGCATACAACCTATTTTTATAGATGAAGGTCATAATTATATTTTAGATAATCTAGGTTTTGTGTCTTAAAAAGTAATTATAATATATTATGCATTAAAAGACTATACATACACCAGTTGGCTAGAAAAATCACTTTATTCTGAATGTAGTAACCTGAAATTTGCTTGAGTCTCAGACATGTCCTGTTACAAGAGAAACCTTAGTGTCTTCCTTCCGTCTCACAATTCTATACTTTCCTCCAACCTCTTCCTCTTTTAGAAAATGAAGTAATTCATAATTTGCCAATTCATTAAATACATTTCTATTTTCTCTAAGGGAACAGACTCACCTCTTCTTTTCCACTATCTGGCACTTTGCAGTACACTTCTCCTGTGGATGGATCATAAGAATCTATATACGAGTGACAAGGTAAAAATCTCCCATCTATGAAGTTTTCCAGCATCAAAAGTTCCATCGTTCCAGAACGGAGAAGAAGTGCTGCTGCCTTTCCCTTCACAATTGTTCCCTGAGTTGTCCCCAACTTTGCCCCCAGTGCTGAGCTGTTCTCTCCTTTTCCAGTTCCAATATCCACATTGGCCAGTCAGGGAAGTGGGAGGAGACCTGACACCCTCAGAGAACATTCCAGCCTCCAAACTAAGACAACTCTCAAATACCCCACAGACTTCCAGTCCATGATGAGAAATGGATAACACACCAACTAAAGCTAACATACTAACATCAACTTACATGATCATTGCCCTTAAAATCATTCAAAGGCATCTGTGTGTATGATTTTATTAGATTCACACGGTAAATGGTTCGTTGCTCATTAAGTGCCAAAACATAAAGCAAGTCCTTTTCATGATTTTCCTCACTTATTCCACACAATAATCCTGCATGACATGAATTAATATCATTATTTCCCCTCTTTTAGACAAGGAAACTGAGCTTCTTCAGAGAGGAAGAGACGATAGGTCACATAGTTAGCAAGGAGTGAACCATGGAACGCTGGTCTTCAAGTCATGAGCTCTTAACTTATGGCTCTCATCCCCACGGAGGTGAGTAAAGACACACACCCTCTTTCCATTGCTCATCAGGTCTGGGTTTTTTGCTGTTGTTGTTTTGTTTTTGTTTTACTTTGTGTTTTCCATTTTGGCGGCCTTTCTCTCTGAAAAGCTCTCTCTCCACCCCAACACCAGGGCTGCAGCAGCAGCTCACGTCTTCCCAGATGAGCCATGGAAATGAATATACAAGCCCCAAAGTGTATGAGACACATAGCAAACCAGGCATTCGTGTGCAATTCTACAAACTGATTAAGAGAAATGACCAACTCACCAGAAAAGGTGAGCAAAACATATAAACAAACAATTCATAGCAAAGGGAATGTGATTGGCTAACCAGTGTATCAGTGGATGCTCAGCCTCGTTGATAATCAAGGAAGGTGAACTACAAAGAGGTGTCCTGCTGGATCATCAGACTTGAGGGTTTTTAAAGGTTAACATCCATTGTGTGGTGTGTGTGGAGAAGCACAGGCATTGCCTTTGATTGTGGTTCACAGAACACCGCAGGGAGCGAGCGTGGGGCACGTTGCCAGTGTCAACGTGCAAATGTGTCTGCTTTTTTCTTTTTTTAATATTAGTTGTAGGTGGACACAATACCTTTATTTTATTTATTTATTTTTATGTGGTGCTGACTATTGAACCCAGTGCCTCACACGCGCATGGGGAAAAGCACTCTACCACTGAGCCACAACCCCAGAGCTGTGTCTGCTTTTAGTCTAGCCATTTCCCTTCATGGAAATGCCCTACGGAATAACTTGCTCATGGACAAGTAGATAAATTGTTAGATATTATTTCTTATGGTAATTAAAAAAATTGAAATCTATCTATCAGTAGTAGAATATTATAATTGTTTGATCCATAATAAGGAATGTTACTTAGCCATTAGAAGGGTGTGTTGTTGCTGGGCACACTGGTGCACACTTGAAATTTCAGCTACTTGGGAATCTGAGGAAGAGACTCACTTGAGCCCAGGAGTTTGAGGCCAGCTTGTACAACAGAGCAATGTAATATGTGTATGAAAATAAATATATTTTATGTGTGTGAGAAAAAGACAAGTAGTGAATAACATGAATGGTACAATCTCTTTGGATGCCTATATAGTTGAGGAGATTAAGGAGGCTTTTTACTTTAAATATTTTTAATTGCTTGAATATTTATGATGAACTCATGTTAACATGTTACTTTTATAGTTATAATTTAGTGGAATATTGACCCTGGCAAGTCCCCATAGAGTGTCCCCATAGCGTGTTCTGTGAACCCTAGTCAATATCCTAAGGTTCATTATCAGAAGGGGACATTGGCTGGCTGTGTACCTCCTCAGGCCCTGCCTGCTTCAATCTCAATCTCTCTCTCTCTCTCTCTCTCTCTCTCTCTCTCTCTCTCTCTCATTATCCACAAGATGTTTATTGAGTTCTTGGGATGTTCAGGACATTTTTCCTGGGCAAAATAACCTCCAAATTATGGGGCCTAAATGTGCCCCCAGGAAACTTAGATTTTACTTGAAGAGTTAAGACATGCTCAATCATAGATAAGTAATCATACAGGGTCATTAACATGAGTATAGGGGGAGGAATTAAAGTCATAATATCATAGGAGCTGAGAGGAGTAAAATCTACTTCCATCTTTATTATTTGTCTTTCTAGATATTCTATAAAATTATTGTTAATCATTGATACAAAGCAATAGGCAACCCATCCCTATACAGCTAAGCTGCAGGCTTCTCTGGGTCTCTAAAAACTATCTATGATGCTTTGCTGAACAAAAGATTCACTTCTTGAACTTTTCTTGTTGCAGCTCAAAACCCCTGCAGAAACTTTGGAAATATAGCTTATTTTATTTTATATAATTATATTCTTGGGAAGGGCTCCCCTTTCCCAGTAGAAAAAAAGGAAAGCAGTATATAGATGAACATTATTTTTTTCTCAGCTTAAAGTTCTTAATAGTTCCTTTTCTGGGTCACTCTTTCTTTTCTTATATCTCATGTTAATGATATTTTATCATAGTGCTTTACTTTTTTGGAAACCCTTTTCTGACTCTTAGTCATATCTAAATAAATATACAAGATGAGGGATAAATAAATCAACAGGGTCCCTTCAGAACCCAGAAACTTCAGTAGATTTTTCAGTGTTGAATACACGGAAGTGTTTGTGCAGATGTAAGGGGGCTGGAAGGGCTGTTGAGGTCACCCAGCTATTAGCAGCTGCAAAGAGCAGTTGCCATTATCTAGACTGGGGACAAAAAGGAAGAAACAGCTGCCAGAACACAGAAGCTTGAAGGAAAGCATCTGTCCCTGCCCCCAGCTGGTGCTGCCTCCTGAAGGCCTACTTGTGGCTGTAGCTGGAGGCTGGAATAGGAACGTCAGCTGTGGCTAGAGGGACACCCACGGGGGCTTGAGCCAGAGGTGGTCTCTCCATCCTCTTCTTCCCTCAGGTTCTTTCTAGGGCCTCCCATTGGCATAAGCCACCTGTGATGGATGTGAGAAATATGGTTTGCAGGTGCCAGGCCTGGATCCCCACTACAAAGGACCGAGAAGAGGACCTGGAGATGAGATGGCCAGTGACATTACAGATTCTGTAGCCCTCCTCCTGAGTCTCCCACTGCCAGCTCCTGCTGCCCTCTTGGCTCCTTCAGAGGCTCTTAGAAGTTTATCTCAAGCACTTCATGCTCAAAATTAGAGCAACAGAGTCCCTTTCCCCAAACCATTCAACTTAGCTTCATCTCACCCAAGCTATTAAGGGGAAAAAAATCATATTATATGACTGGAGAAACTCAGAATAATGTTGATTGATTAAGCAGAGTGTTTATCTTTTTATGTATTTCTTAATGAGCCACAAAATTCTAATCAGGGGCTTAAGGGACAACTCTTTGCAGAAAGGAGCTTTTCTTGGCTTCTTCTGCCACTTCACTGCAGAAGAGGGTCAGAAACCAGACACAGGGCTTTTGAAAATTGCTTGATGCTTCTTGGAATGCCTCGCCAGGAGCAGGCCTGGCTCTGGGCAGGAACATACTAGTGGCATCTGCTCTTTTGTTTTCCATATTTACCTTATATGTCCCTCTGTCCTGTCAGCCCTTTTCTGACCATAACAAAACTATTTGATCCCACCTTCAGGTCAATCACAGGCCTTACTCTGCAGTCAGAGCTCAGCAGATGATGGGAGAAAAAATCAGATGTGCAGGATGCAACATCAGGCCCCAGGGAGAGCCTGGCCATGTCCTCTGACCCCAGTCCTCATTCCTGACCTCTGACCTGCTTGGAGCCCTCTAGGCCTTCTCCCTAAGCTCTTTTCTGTTTCCCCTAAAGAGTAATGAAACCCTGTAACTGGGCCTAGGCATTGAGACTTTACTTCAAAGTAGTTCCACCTGTCTTACCATGCATCCAGGCACCAGCTGCTCCTGAATTCCATGGGTGGCTGGCTGCTCACCAGTGCACAACATCTGGTTGAATACACATTTACTCTTGCCATGCCCCTGGAATGCCATGCTTACCCATGGATGAACCATACTCCATTAGCAGCAACTTGACTGCCCACTGTCCACCAGTGCCAGAGCCTACACAGTGAGGACAGGGAACTCAAGACCTTGAGCTCATCTAATAAAATAAATGTGAGGTATTAAGTATACTAAGATTTAGAAAAACTAATAGTTCTAGAGTGTTCCAGAAGAGGATGTGGTGCTTTTATTTCACCGGCCAAAGTTATTGTTTTTGAAAGTGGTGAGCAAGCAATCCTCACTTAGGAGCTCTGAAGTGTTCTGGAGCTCTCTACTACCCAGTAGGCTGCATATTAGCACACATTAATGGGTTTCACTGCTGTTTCCATAGTGCATGTTATTTTAGTCATATCTATCCTCCCTCCTTTCCTCTTTTGCCCTCCCTTCTCTTCCCTTCCTCTTGCCTAGTAGTTCCTCCTCTACTTTTATGTCATTTTTTTTTCATTTCCATATATAAGAAAACATGATACTTTCTTTTGGTGTCTGACTTTGCTTAACATAATGATCTCCATCTCTATTTTCTTGGAAATTACATTTTATTCTCTATGGCTGAATAATATTCTATTTTGTGTTTATCATATTTTATTTATTCATTCATCTGTTGACAGGAACCTAGGTTGACTCATTCACAAAAACTATAGGTATGCAGGTATCTTTTATATGCTGTTTTCATTTCCTTGTGGTGGATACATAGGAGTGCTATAGATGGATCATATGTTAGCTCTATTTTTAGGTGTTTGATGAACTTCCATACTGTTCTCTATATGGCTGTACTAGTTACAGAAAACAGTTTATTTGGAGTATATTTAAATTTAATTTATAAGGTATAGCTGGAAAATGAGCTAGAAAAGTTGAGGTTTTGTTCTGCAATCCTTGATCAATGAAGAACTGGGAAAGTGTTGGGGGGCAGTGGGGAATAAGTATGGAATTCCCCCAGCTGCCAGTTACCAGAACTTCAGAACAAATCAGAGAATAGCCACAACC